AGGCATTTTAAAATTTTTTAAAAATTGTCTCACCATTTTGAAAAATTACATTTTTTATATGAACACCTACTACTTAGAAAATAATTCCGACAATTTTTAACTTTTTAGTTCAAAAATTTGGATGTTTTAAAATATTTGTAAATTTCGAAATATCTGTAAAATTTTGTTAGTTTGTCAATAATACTGTGAGTTTTTTCTACTATTTTTTAATTTTAGACTACTGTGCGAATTTGTCCTGCTATATTTTAATTTTGATGTACTGTGCATATTTTCCACTTTTTATTGTTTTAACAGTACATACTAAAAATAAATGGACGTGAAATCAAAAACAACAACTCATAAAATTCATGTTTATTTTTTTGTCATTGTTATTTAATTTTGTGAAAATCTAACCACAATCCTCCTTTTGGTGAAAGCATTATATACCAGGGATCAAATTCTAGGGGCTCCTTTGTTTTTGGGTTGACACTTATGGAAAACGCTCGAATAATATGCGCCACAGCAGCTTTAATTTGTAGCATGCCAAATTTTTGACCTACAAAATTTGCATTTTTAAGGTAAAATATGAAGTAATTTTTTCATTAAAACTTACCTATGCAAACTCTTGGTCCATCACCGAACGGTCTGAAAACGCCCTGCGATCTATCATTCTTTCTGTTTTCCTTCAAAAAACGCGCTGGAATGAATTTATCGGGTTCATCAAAATATTTTGGGTCGAGAAATAGTCCCTTAACCGGAATAACCATAACAGTACCAACATCTACGGTAACATCGATGTCTTTGAATTCCGACGTGTTAGCCGGTTTGTAAGAAAATTTTTCTGTGCATAGTTTGGAAAGGCTTTCCACGAATGGATTTTTTGAGATTCTGCAAAAGAAAAAAATAAGCGAAGTTTTCTTAAGACTATATCTAGCTCATGTTGTATTGTACTTACCATTAAGACATGCATCTAGATACTCCATTTCCATTATGACATCGTACGTCAATTTCCCACCATTTCCATCCATGGTATCGTTGATTTCTTGTCGCAATTTATCCTGTACTTCTGGATGCTTGGCAATTTCGTAGAGGAGAAAACTCATCACAATAGAACTGGTTTCGTAGCCATCTCCGAAAAATGAGGCCGCATGCGCCACCATGTCTTCGGGATCAAAATCCTTCGTTGAGTCTTTTAGTTGCATCATGGATTGCAAAAAATCTGGTCTCTGTACGTTGTTCTTTTCCCTGTAGTCCACAGTATCGAATACAATCTTTTTCAGTCTTTCAGCCACCTCTTTGGAAATAAATCTAATAAAAAATGTATTAATAGTTAAGTTCAAACTTCCTAAAGTGGTTCATAAAATAAATGTTTTAAATATTTCCTCTCCACAACTTTACCATTATTTGATACAAATATTATTACATAATCCAAACAATTTTATTGGGGTACCCCAATATACATATGCATATCTTGTATATATTGGAACATGAGACTTACCTTATAGATAAAACCCTCATAAGAGAGGGTATAATCATTGATACAAATATTTTTAAAGATTGCCATTTTTCTGGTGACAAAAATTTGTTGGCTATGTCTTGAAAGTCGCAGTTGGGATCATTAAAACAATTTGCTTCCAGCCCAAAAGCACAACTCGCCACATTTTCCAAAGTTATTTTCGTACAAAGGTTTTTGGCCTCCAGGCAATTAACTCCAGAATCAATTTGTTTGTTTACATAGCTTACAGCTTTTTGACTTACATTGTCCAAGAGGGTGAATATTGTTTTCATCTAAAATTTTAAATTATTCAACTAAATACATATATGATATATCTAGTTTAAGATAACATTCTTGAGGCAGTCATATCAACAAGCTAGATTTAACTGTCGCAAGAAAGTCACTATAAGCTTGATATAGCTGTCCCAAGAGGACTAAATACAGGGGGAATATAGTCATGTGTTACAAAATACGTTTGGGTAAAAAACAAATTAATATTAACCTTTCCAGTGGTGAAGTTTGGTGTGAGTAGGGCTCTGGTTTCTTTCCAGGCGTGGTCCTTTGAAAAGAATGGGTTTCTTCCCATAATTGGGTCCACTTTTTTATCGATAAACAGTTCATTGTTCATAAAACTTTTGAAATTTTTCACGTAAATGCATTTAAGGAATTCTGGATCTCTAACGAGCAAGCACGGAGTCACCGATTTGTATACTCCTACAAATGGGTAATCCTTATATTCTCTAAAAAAATATTTAATTTATTAATTATTTTTAACATAATGTTTCCAAAAGTAAAAATAATAAACATTACGTAAATATTTTCTTTATATAAATACACCAATTAATTATTTATGTTTCATATTTTTTTATGGTAATCAACAGCAACAACAAATAGTTTAAATAAGTTTGATATTATTTAATCATCGTTATTTTTACAACTTTGTTATTGCAATATTTTTTTTAGCATTTGAAACACACATTTAAAAAAAAAGCTCTCAAGGTTTCAGGCTTAATATTTTTTCTACTCCTATTGCGGAATTTGACCGTTCTAATATCACTTTTATCTATGGAATGACATATATTCCGTAGTGTTACAGAATGAAATATTCTATCATCTGATGACAGAATAAACACTCGTGGCGACATCTCTGTTTTTAATATCTAACAAATTTTAGACCGATCCAACCTCACTTTTATCTATGGAATGACATATATTCCGTAGTGTTACAGAATGAAATATTCTATCATCTGATGACAGAATAAACACTCGTGGCGACATCTCTGTTTTTAATATCTAACAAATTTTAGACCGATCCAACCTCACTTTTTTCCAATTAAATTATTTTTCTATGGTATTTTTTGGAAAAGTAGAAAAAGTATAGTCTGAAACACGTTTGGAATTGCATATTCCGCTCTCGTGAAACCGTCAAACTCGCCTTCGGCTCGTGTGACAAACTCTTCACTCGAGCGGAATATGCTGTATTCCAAACTTGTTACAGAATATACTATTTCACTTATCGCCGACGGTGGTCTAGTGGTTAGTGCTGCTGACTACAAGCCGGAGGTCGTGGGTTCGAATCCCACCAGGGGTATGGCTGTTTATTTGTGTTGTCCTATTGTGTAATAGTCCTTCGGAGGGGACTTTAAGCCCGCTGTCCGTTCCTACCCCTAACCCGCACAAGCCATTCAGTTGGCTTATGGGACTTCTTAAGAAGTAAGGGTGGATCTAAAAGAGCACTTTTGTATATAAACTTTTTGTATATAAACTTTGTTTATAAACATTATAATTTCACAAGAAGGCTTTATTTTACCGATTGTATGACATTTGACAACTGTCAACTAACTTAAAACTAACTTCAGCCCGTGACTAAAACGCTATTTATGTCAATGTGTATTTAAAAGGTTACTTAGTGTCATGTAATATCTTTTAAACTATTTTTATTGTTTTATTGCATAAAACTATTATTGTGAGAAGTTATATTTTTTATAAAAGTATTTTTCACTTTTTACTTGTACCTATACAGGCCTGTATATTATACAGATCTAAATGTATAAATTTTAGTAACATTGTTGCAACTATTGCAAAAAAAAAAATCCTTATTTACCTAAAGTTCATTTTTTTTTATCTGGACTGCGGCAACGTTGCAAATTATTTGGTGGTAAATACAGTTGTCAAGTTCTTCGCATTGATTAAAACAAACTAAGCTAGTTATAAATCTAATTGTGGTTATGTATAAATTATTGTAGGTTACATTGTGCAGTTGTCAAGTTGAGTTGTCGAAATTCGTAGTTAAAAATGCAATTAATTTGGCTTTGGTGGTGCTTGGATGAGTAAAATCATATAAAAATAGTATATTAAAGTACAAGTTGCAGAAGGCCACATATTCTCGCACGAATTCGAAATTTGGCCTCGAGCGACGAAGGAGCGAGTGGACGAACGAATGAGTGCGAGAATAGCCTTCTGCAACGTGTGATTTATACTATTTTCTCGATTTTAACTTTTATTTAGGTTTTTTTAATTGTTTTGTGGTCGTTGTTAGTTAGGGGATTTTTCTCGCAAAATGTCAGTTGGCAACACAAAATGACAATATTTGTTATCCTGCACAAGTACAACCTGAACTGCACTTTTACACATTAAACTTAAAATTTTGCATTAAAATGCATTGTTGGAGCAAACTTTATATTACAAAACAATAATAAAGGCTTCATTTTCAATAAAAGTAATGAATTTGAGGTTATTAATCAGTTTGACATTTTGGGGGTACCAATACTTAAAAACTAAATGTTACCAAAAATCGTTTAAGAATGAGCTTCATTCTTCAACGATTTTGCGTGCGAGAATATGACATTCTTACATAAAAATCGAGAAAAGTAGTTAAATATAGGTTGCTTTACGGCCCAGAAGAGAAAGTATTCCTAGCGGATAATAATCTTCGTTTTGAAAAGAATTTATATAAAAGAAATTGTGAACGTAAATGTTGTCCAATGGTGAATAATGTGAAAATAATGTGTGATGTAATATTTATAAAACTAAATTCGTCAAAAATGTCCATAAGGCGATGTACTTTTTCTTCCATTGAGGCATTTGGCATAATTTCATCAAAATGAAGTTTTGCCCTCAAAAGGGCTTTTACATTCGAATTCGTTGCTATTATTTTTGGCATAATTATCTTTTTATTTATAATTGACAAGTAAATTATAAATAATAAATAATATTGTCAATTTGACAGTTTCAAAGTATTTAATTAAATTCTTTAGCAGAAGTACCATTTTTAAATACTAAAAATACTAAGTTAAACTGGCATAAGCCACCAACCTAGCAAAAACCAGAACAAAAAAATGAACTGTATGTTATTTTAATAGAAAATTAAAATTAAAATAAAACTACGTAGGAGTAAGATTAAGGGCTGAAACTTTAAGGGTATTTTTTTTCTCGATATGTATATCAATATTTTGCTTGTGAAGTTACAAAAAATTAATGTTCCTTCAACAGACTAAATTTTGATAAAATAAGGACCATATCTTACTTGTATATTTCAAAAAAGCAATTTCCTAAGGACTTCTTCCCCAAAAAGCTCTCTCCAATATGCCCCACCAAGAAAGTCGGCTCGGGTCCCGGTACATTCCTTCTCTTCCAATACTCGAAAGTACGTTTGTACAGAACGTACAGTAGAGTTACAACAAATATAAGCAACACGACAAACATGATGTACTGTTCAAGAATGAATGAATATGATCCTTTAATTAATGTAAATTATTGTAAACACCGTCAAGGTCAGGTTGCATTTCTGGTTTGTTTATTACAATATACAGTGTAGTACACTGAGTGTATGAGATTTAAGACCGCAACACGCCATTATTGTCGCTTTGGCAATTCGGACAACCTGTATATCTGTTACCGAATGAGCCAATTACAAAATATAAACAATACATTTATCTACTCCTTGAAAAGGTCAATATAGTTAACTCTACAACAAAAGCAATATAAAGTGTTTATTTAAAATTAGAATATTGTAATAATTATTAGTAATTTACTTACTTATCAGGATTTTTTTTTTTAATTTTTTGTTTTAAACCTACTTTTCAGAAAAAATATAATGAAATTATTCACACCGATGTACAACGTTTTGATTTAATTTTCGAAAAAAAACAAAAATTCTTCGATTGTCATTTTTTTTATTATTATTAGAAACTTTTTTAGTGGCGCTTTTTGATTTTCTGTTATTTTTTTCAAATGAATTTGTGGTAAATTTGTAAGGAAGTTTTTCTTTTAAAACTTCGACTTTTTTGTTTAATTACCCAAAAAACATTTTTTGATGAATACCACTTCCAATTTCATTTTTCTTTTTCAAACTTTGAGGTTCTCTCTACACGAAATAATGCCACTCAAAAATTTTGTAGAATTTCCAAAAAATAAAAAATGATTATCATCGAAAAATTTCGTTTTTTTTCCTTGAAAATTAAAAAAAAAACGTTTTTTAGATATTTTTTGAAAAGTACATTCAAAAATAAAGAAAAAGAAAAAAGTTTTTTAAAAAACTTATAAGGTAAAATTATAAAAATTTAAGTGGTAAATTTGTGATAAAATTTGTTTCTTGTTTTTTTCAACACTTTTTTGTTTAATTACCCAAAAACCACTTTTCAAAACTTTTATCAATTTAATTGAACAAAAAATAGAAAACAAAAAAGCGTCACTAAAAATTTGTAGAATTTTGCAATAGTGTTTCTAATAAAAAAAAAATTACATTTGAGAAATATTCGTTTTTCCAGAAAATAAAAAAAACGTTGAAGATCGGTCTGAATCATTTTTGTCCATATATGTATTTCTAAAAATTACATTAAAAACAAAAATTTAAAAACAAACGTCTTGATAAGTTCATTTTTCTCGGTTCGGTAAAAATATTCTAAAAAATGTTTTTGATAGGGTAGGATATAAAATATTCAGCCCAGCATACTACTACGCCAAAAATGTTAAGAGACTTTTTTTGTAAAGCATTTGATTTTCCATAAGAATATTCATCGGTTTTTTTCTGGGTACTGATTTTTACATGAATTACAAAATTCCAAAGTTAAAAGATCAAAATGTAAAATTATACCAATTTTTAAGGCATTATTTTTAAGAAAACGGTTCATCTGACGGAAAATTTCATTTTAACCTTTTTGTAGAGCATTTAATTTTTAAAAAAATATTTCTCAGTCAATTTTGTTTAATTCAATAGTTTGGGAGTTCTGATATAAAAACTTGCTGAGGAAAAAAAATTAAAATTGCGATGATAGACCTCTTAATATTAATATTGTGGACTCAAACTTTCACAATAATTTTTTTGTCACCCCAAACCATACTTTTGATATACTTAAAAAAAAATAGTTGATTTTTTTGGCCCAGTCTAGTATATACACTAGGGTGATTCATTTCCGCAAAGTTTTTGTTTTTTTTTCGGTGCTCAAGCAAAATATTAATCTGCATATAGGAAAAAACATTCTTAATATTAATTTTAAGCACTTACTATTTAAATTTAAAGTTTTACCGTTTAAAATGCATGCATGCATGTAAAAAATATATATATTTTTTCAAATTTCTAATGCTTACCCACCTTTGACAATATTGCAAATCGGTTTAATACACCTTATGGGGAATTTCACGCTCTTTAAAATTGCTTTTGAGTTTTTTTTTGTAACTCGCATTGGTTCACCAGTAGGAGTAGTCAAAGGACAGTTTTTGAAAAAAATCGTTTTTTTTTTATTTTTTCGAGCAAATCGCCAAAAGTAGTGAGAAAAACGGGCTGATTCATAAAAAAAAAGTTATCCAACCAATATTTAATGAATTTACTGCCATTTTTATAACTGAAAACGTAAGAAATTGATAAATACCAACCCATAATGTTATTTAGATTGATTTTTTCTATTTATTATCATTATATTTCCCTACACTAAGAACTTTTTTAAAATTATTATGATTTCTCACTCATAATGAATATGAAAACAACACATAAATTCATAAAAAAAACAACAAAACTTTAATCGGAATATACAGAAGGTTATGTAACATATTTCAAATTTCGCTTCAAAATATTAAATAATCTTCATTTATATTTTTTTGCTACATGACAGAAATGTTGAAAAATTGCAAAATCCACGTTACAATTTTCTTATTGTTTTTTATGAATTTATCTGTTGTTTTCATATTCATTATAAGTGAGAAATCAATAATTTTAAAAAACTTAGTGTAGGGAAATATAATGATAATAAATAGAAAAAATCAATCGAAATAACATTATGAGTTGGTAATTATCAATTTTTTACGTTTTCAGTTATAAAAATGGCTGTAAATTCATTAAATATTGGTTGGATAACTTTTTTTATGATTCAGCCCTTTTTTCCCCTACTTTTAGCGGTTTGTTAGAAAAAATTAAAAAAAAAACGATTTTTTTCAAAAAGTGTCCTTTGACGACTCCTACTGATGAACCAATGCGAGTTACAAAAAAAAACTCAAAAGCAATTTTAAAGAGCGTGAAATTCCCCATAAGGTGTATTAAACCGATGTGGAATATTGTCAAAGGTGGGTAAGCATTAGAAATTTGAAAAAAAAAATATATTTTTTACATGCATTTTAAACGGTAAAACTTTAAATTTAAATAGTAAGTACTTAAAATTTATATTAAGAGCTCAAACTTTTTGAGAATTTTTTTTTCTATATAATCTGCATATATGCAGATTAATATTTTGCTTGAGCACCGAAGAAAACAAAAACTTTGCGGAAATGAATCACCCTAATAAATACTACAACATAAGATGAATTTTTCCCGACCAGTGCCGACAGCGAGAAGGAAGAAGACATGGTGGAGTGGCTGCGCGAGGTGGGCATGCCCGCCGACTACGTGAACAAGCTGGCGCGCATGTTCCAGGACATCAAGGTGAGCGAGGACCTGAACGCGCAGTTCAGGACGTCGACGGCGCGCCACGACGCCATCAACATCAAAATACTGAACGCGGGCGCGTGGGCGCGCGGCTCGGAACGCGTCACCGTCAGCCTGCCCGTCGAGCTCGAAGACTACATACCGGAGGTCGAGGAGTTCTACAAGAAGAAGCATTCCGGCAGGAAGTTGCAATGGTGAGCTTTCGTTTTTTGTTTTATCTTTCGTATTTTCTTCGAAAAATATTTTGTTAAACTCGATGGTTTGGGAGTTCTGAGACAAGAACTCAGTCGGGAAAAAAAGTCTAAAATTGCGATATTAATATTATGGACCCCAAACAATATTTTCGATAAGGGTAAACCGCATAGTTATTGGACACTTAAGGAATATTATTTATTTAAAATTTATATATGCCGTTGTTTTAAAGATTTTAGTTTTTTCTTATAAATACATAAAAAGGATAGTTTGTTTTTTAAACTTTATTTACGTTTACTTAAAAATAAGAATATTTGAATTTTTAATAATAGTTTTATAAAAACATGGACATTTTATTGGAAAGATAAATTGCTGTTTTATGTAATTTTTTTATTTCGTTTTTCTAAATATCATATAATTCATATATTTCTTTCTCGAATTCCTCATCCCATTTCTGGATTCTGAAGTAAATTACTTGTTCTGACTTCTGAAATAGTTTGTTGCAAATATCATTAAGATTGGTATCTTCAGTTTGTGAAGCATTTATAATGTTTAGGCCAGGAACAGAATGATTTATTTATATCTAATATTTTTTCGGGTGGTATGTTGAAAGTATTTTCCGAATTTGTTAATTTTGTTGCCTTTAGTTTTTTATGTTCTCTATCATGCACTGTATTTAAATCACTGTTATTCTGCAAGATGCCCTGTGACGAAGAAATCACTATATTACTTACTCTCTAAAAATGAATTAGTCAAAAATGTCAATTTGTATCCAGGACATTTAGCAGTCAATTCCTATGAAATATTATTCTCTGAATCCGAAAATGTCGTCAAAAGTTATAAAAGTAGAACAGTTTTTGAAATATAATCAATTTTACATAAAATATGGAATTGACTATATCTCAAAATCTGCGTAACTGTTATAGTTTTTGACGGTCTTTTCGGATTCAGGAGACAATTTACATAAGAATTGACTGCTAAATGTCCGGGATACAAATTGGCCATATGTCCAATAATATAAATTAACATTTTTTACTTACCAGTAATTGGACACTGGCCATTTTACGGTTTGTTTTCAGAATTAAAATTAAAACACATTAAAGTGATGATGTTTAAACCATTTATACCACACACTGATCTGTACACTTTTTAGAAATATTTTTTATTATAATTTAAACACTGCTCTTAACAAAAAAACAAAAATCTTACCACCAAAGTAACGTGCGAACTTTTTTGCCCTATATTGGACCCAAAATAAAGTAGTTCTATATTGTTACCGACAGAGATATAATTGTATACAGCGTCATCTAATGATTTGACTTTAAGGTAACTACACTGCGCGTCAAAATTAAGGCATAACAAGTTAAAAAAAATCCAACTCTAAAACGCCTTTACCAATCTTTATAAAATTTTGGATAAAAATACTTTAACTTATATCTCGTGTTCAAGGGTTTTTTGTAAGTAATATCATAAGGGCATGTAATTTTTCCGAAAAAAATCGACACGTTGCTAAGTAATATTTTAACAAGAAGCATGAGTGCTGGTGGCAACAAAAATCCGAGTCGAAGAGGAGGATTTTTGCACCTGCACGAATGCATTTTGTTAAAAAATATTACTTGGCATTGTGTTTATTCGATTTTTTTCACAGGAAAAATTAGATGCCCGAATGGTATTTGACAAGACTATTTCATGAGTAACAGTTAACAATTAAAATATAAATTGCAATTTTTGGTGACAACAGCTGTCAAGTTTTGCCGCGGGTAAACTCGAATAAACTGCTGACAGGTGCTGTCACACAGTTTTTCACCTAGAAACCATTTGTAATTCAAAATTGCGCGTTTGTGATTGGTGGAAATTAAGACGAGGGAAATAGTCGAGAGAATATCCTTAAAGCCCTTTTATTTAATAATAAAGCCCGCTGCACAACAGCCCGGTAACGCGAACGGGAAACTAAACGGTAAAGGTGGGAGAGACTCAGCGAACCCTATCTATCAACAGTGGTTTTTTAGTCTCTCCCACCTTTATTGTTAGGATTCCCGTTCCCGTTACCGGGCTATTGTGTAGCAGGCTTAAAAAACGCTCGAAAAAAACTTTTATAGGGAAATTTTTTTATGTAAATAAAAAATATGGGTTTACTCACAGAAATACGGTCTTTAAGAGCATATTTTTTATGTAGTTAAAATAATTCCCTAAAAGTTATTTTACGAACGTTTTTTTATTATTAAATAATATATTAAATAGGGATATTTTCTCGAAAAACCCTCGAACACATATAAGTTGAAGTATTTTTAAACAAAATTTCATAAAGATTGGTAAAGGCGTTTTAGAGTTAATTTTGACGCGCAGTGCATTTATAGAGCTCTTGTTTTTACAGTATTAATGTTAATTGAGGAGCATCCGTGCAAAACCGGCTATATCCACTTTAATAAAATGTTGGGAAAATGGCAAAAACTCTCGGTTTCCTGGCGTTTACAGATAAAAGAAAAAGCAAACTTAAGTTTTGTGGGCTTTGTGGTACTTGATTTATAAGACATACATATTCAAAAACTTTATATTAAGGCCAAAATTTCAAAAAATGTTTTGCTCGAAAACCGAATAAAAAACGAATAAAATGTGAAAAAAACCTTTATTATTCAAAAATATTAACAAAATAAATTTAGTGAAAACATGAAAAAACAGAACAAATTTTAGTAGTAGTAACAACATATCCAAGCCACATAATATTATTTATTGGATATAGCCGGGTTTGCTATAAAAACGTGGATTTGGCTGGTTTTGCTCCTAAAGCTAGCTTTTAAATGTGATTTTAGCATGGATATAGTCGGATTTAAACAGAATTATCTTGGTTGTCGATAGAAATGAACCCAAAGATGCGAAATCAAAAAAAAACAAAAACTGAATAAAATGGATTTAGCCGGTTTTGCACGGATGCTCCTCAATTGTCCAATAACTATAAAGTGTCCGATAACTGTCTACTTTACCCTAAAAAAATAGTCGATTTTTTGCACAGACCACCAAAACAAATGGACGGATTTGTTTACGTTTAAAAAGCGAGTAAAGCATACTTTCACATTCTAAACACCGTCGAAAGACGGCTTCCAACGTTGTCAGAAGTATAGATTACACGCCTTTTTGGACGTTCATCAAACATAATGAACATTAATAATTACCAGTAATTCGTTTGAATAATAAAAAAATTGTAAAAAGGATTTGTTCATCGTTTTCTTTAGATATTTTTCTCTATTTAAAGAAAGTAAATCATTTAATAATTATTAAAATTAAATATTCACAACGTTGGTAAATTCGTCATATTTGACAGCATAGAAAAAGGTTATGTTCTGTGGGTTGACAGCTTGTTATTTTGTGTTTTCGTTTGTGTATTTCTATCGTGTTTAAGTTAATTATGGAGTTTAAATACATTATTTTTTACTAAAAATAACAATACATGAAAATATCGTTTGTAAGTACCTACCTACTTATTATTTTTTTAATCCCAATACGTCACTGGAAGAAAACATAAAATTCTATCGCCAATTTAACGCTTAGACTGTGACCGTTTGATGACGTCACTGGAAGAAAACATAAAATTCTATCTCCAATTTGACGCTTAGACTGTGACCGTTTGTTGACCGCAAACAAATCATTGTTATGGCAATGCGCCGTCCATTTGTTTTGGTGGTCTGTAATTTTTTGGCCCCGTTGCAACAATGAATATTTAAGGTACCACCACATGAGCAACGGCACGATAACGTTCGTGACGTGCGGCGGCAAGTTCGACCTCGACGTGACCACGTTCCAGATGGCGGTGCTGTTCGCGTGGAACCAGCGGCCGCACGACAAGATCACGTACGAGAACCTGCGGCTGGCCACCGAGCTGCCGGACGGCGAGCTGCGCCGCACGCTCTGGTCCCTAGTCGCCTTCCCGAAGCTGAAGCGCCAGCTGCTGTCGTTCGCGCCGAACGCGGCCGCACCCAAGGACTTCACCGAGCACACGGTGTTCTGGGTCAACCAGGACTTCGCGCTCGTCAAGAACGGCAAGACGCAGAAGAGGGGAAAGGTGAGAATCGTTAAGTTTTTAATTTACCCTTATTTTTTTTAGCGTGGGAGTAAAATTTGCTAAATCTTGAAAACTGAGACGTGTATAAACTAAACGTAACCAAACAAATATACAAAAACTATACAGGGTGTTTCATAATATATGCGCAGGACTTCAGGATGTGATAGATTATCCAAAAAGATGAAAAAAGTTGCTATTAAGTTACGCTCTAAAATGCACAATTTTCGAGATACAGGGTGTTGAAATTTTAGAAAAAAAATCGTTTTTTTCGAATATCTCCGGAACCGTTTATCGTACAAAAAACAGCTTTTGTAAGCATTTTCTACTCAAAATAAGCTATGTTTTGTGCTAGAAAAAATTTTTTTCCTCATAATTGGTGGAGATTTTGAAGGGGTAGCGGGTGTTTTTCTCCTCAACTTCTACGCCCCTGAAAAAAGTACGCTGTTTTTGTACGATAAACGGTTCCAGAGATAATCTAAAAAAACGATTTTTTTTCTAAAATGTCAACACCCTGTATCTCGAAATTTGTGCATTTTAGAGGGTAAGTTAATAGCGACTTTTTTCATCTTTTTGGATGAGCTATCACATCCTGAAGTCCTGCGCATATATTATGAAACACCCTGTATAGCACTATCTAAGGATGTCCTAAAACGGTCTAAAACTGTCTAGAAATGTCTTAAATCCGTCTTTAAAAACTAAGATGTTTGGAAAAGTCTTAAAACTGTCTAAAAATTTCCTAAAAGCGTCAGAAGTTCTCTTCATTATAGTAGAATTTATCGTAGAAAACCGTCTGAAATCTGCTGTAGTCCTATCTAAAATTCTTCCAAAACGTTCTGTACTGTCTAAATATTTCTAAAAAGGCTTAAAACTGTATTGGAGTTGTCTTATACTGTCTTAAACCCCTCTTAATATCGCCTTTTTATTTTTGTAACGCGTATAAAAACGAAACCATTGTCTAAAGATGACCTTAAACTGTTTAAAATATTCTAACATTGTCTAGAAATGTCTTAAAACTACATTAATACTGTAATGGAAATTTCTAAAAATGTATAAGTACATTAATACGTAAAATGTCTTAAATTCGTCTTTGAAAACTTTCAAATGATTGAAACTCTTAGTTTATAAAAGTCTTAAATCTGTCTAAAATGTCCCAAACGCATCTTTAAATTGTTAGTTCTCATTATTATAGCAGAATCTAAAAATCTTGGAAAACCGTCTAAAATCTGCCGTAGACCTGTCTAAAAATCGTAAAAAACGGCCTGTACTGTCTATATTTTTATTTTTGGGACGCGTATAAAAACGCAACCTTAAAATATATATTAGCAGCCTTAAAACTATATACCATTGTCTAAAGATGTCCTAAAACTGTATAAAATGTTCTGAAATTGTCTAGAAATGCCTTAAAACTACATTAATACTTTAGTGGAACTTTCTAAAATGTCTTAAATCCGTTTTTTTTTAACTTTTTTTTAAATGATTGAAAAAGTTTCTAAAATTTCTTAAAACTGTCCTAAATGTTCCTAAAAGCGTCTTTAAACTGTTAGAAGTTCTCATCATTCTCAAAAGTAGAACTTAAAAATTAAAAAAAAAAACCGTCCAAAATCTGCGTTGGTCCTGCCTAAAAATCTTCTATAACGGTCTGCACTGTCTTAATTTTTTAAAAAAGGCTTAAAATTTAAAATTAAAAATCTTCTAAAATTTGTCCTAATTATGTTTAAAATGTTATGAAAACTCGTTATGAATTATTCAAAACATTGATATGTTCAAAAATTGTCCAAGATATCTGTACTAGTCTTGTACTAAAACTGCCAATAATGTCTAAAATTTACGAGAAGCGTCAGTTTTTAAATTATTATATAACTTGATGGGTTTTTAAATTGCTCTGAAACTGAATGTTTATATACTGTTTTAAAATTTAATTTAAACAGATTTTAGAACCCATCAAGTTCTATAATAATTTTGAAACCTGTTTTAAAATAGATGTCAATATGACATTACGGTGACGTAGGGTACGTAAAAAATATGACGTTTAAGATAATTCCTAATCATGCGCAGTAAAAACTAAACTGAACTGTTTTCTGGCAGGTAAATCTCATTGGACGCTTACAGTTGAGTACAGAAAGGTCGCAAGTGGAAGATAACCAATCCATCGTGCAACTGCGCATACTTAGGACCCAAGAGGCTATAATTAAAATTCTGAAAATGCGGAAAAGAATATCGAACGCAGCCCTTCAATCGGAACTTGTAGATATCCTGAAAAATATGTTCCTTCCTTCCAAAAAAATGATCAAGGAACAGCTGGAATGGCTCATCGAACACAAATACATGAAAAGAGACGATGACGACATCAATACTTTTATTTATATGGCATGAATTGTTATGAAATTAATAAAAAATATTGTTATATATAAATGCTTCTTCATTTAAAACCAGACCCAAAAATGCCTTGAGAGAAAATTATCCATTTTGAGCCCACAATTGAGCTCAAGCTTGAGCTAAAAAATATGCTAAAAATAGTTTTTCATTAAAGTTGGCTGTGGTTCATTCGAACTACTCGGCTTTGTCAACGGTTTTTTAGTGAGGTTATGTCTATGATTTCCCTTCTAATATGCCTGACAGTCCTTAGAACAAAAAACTAAGTGACAGTCCCATACTCTATGGACAGTCCGATATTGATATTGTTATATATAAATGCTTCATTTAAAACAAAACCCAAAAATGTTGTTGCTTTAAGAGTGAATCTCATTTAGTGCCACAATTAAGCTGATAAAAAATATGCTAAAAAGCGTTATAAAAAACTATTTACTTTTAAACTTCTTCTTCTTCTTCTTCTTAATTCTGAACACAATTCTGTGTTCAGAGGAATGACCTTTAGCTTAATTTAAAAGCTATTTGGCCAGCACATTATATTATTAAATTTTCTTTATTATGATCAAGGGTCTTATTTAAAAGAATCTGAGATTAACTCATCCCTTGAATCATTTATATATTGTTAATTATTTATAAAATTTTATAGAACCATGTCATCTTTTCGCTTCACTATGTACACATGGCTTCATACACAGAATTTTCCAATTATCTTTAATCTTCAATCATCCGATCCATCTCTTAAGTATTTCCATATGTTTTTGCAAATTCTTGGTTAAAACCAGTTTGTTTTTACACTGGGAGTCCGATTTTGCCTCTCCTGGGTCGAGAAGTCACTTATTTTTCAAATACTCTTTCATAGAGCAACCGACAGACACGAGAACCAAAACCGAACTGTACTTTTAAACTTTCCGCCTAGTTTAGTCATTGAAGTTGGCTGTGGTTCATTCGAACTACTCGGCTTGTCAACGGTTTTTTAGTGAGGTTATGTCTACGATTCTTCTAATATGCCCGAGAGTCCGGAGAAAACAGCCCCGAAATGGCACCATCCCGCGGAAGTTATGAAGTTGCACAAATTAAAGCAGAAAAAGAAGCAGCTGCAGGCGAGAATTGCGGGGAATGTGACCAAAACGCCTGACGTAAAGACGAAGGAGGCTTTTGAGGATGTTTTTTGCGCTAGAAAGAGGAAAAATCCGTTTTTGAGTGGTGGCGAGAACAAGAAGAATCGAATCGAGCCCACGGCGGTTTTGGAGGAGTCCGCGGATCAGACTTTGTTTAAATTGTTGAACCAGAATGCGCCGAATAACATAACCACCGAATCGTTCACTAGCTTTAATAATATTCTCGATAAAATTAACGCTAAAGAGAAGGAAGAGAACGTGGAGATAGTGAAAGCGCAGGGGGAGAGCTGGCTGCCCATCGACTGGGGGTTGAAGAGCAAGGCGAGGTTGCTATCGGAGAAACCTTTCCCGTGGAATCAAAAGCTAAAGATCAGCGAGGAAGCTTCGGGGGTTACAGGATTCACGCGTTGTTTGGATACGAACTGCGAAACCCAGTTGGATACGTCGCCAAACGCGAGATTCCACCAGTGTTGCCTGTTTTGGCAGCAACCGTCTCTGCCGTGGGTTAATTTATTTCCTCGCACAGTCCCCAGGGCTTCCGCTGCCGGGGCTAGTTTAGCTTGCAACAGTGTTATCCGGGATAGTTTACAGGCTGCTTGGTCGGATAGTTTGCGATCGTTGTTTCAACTGATAAGGACTCGACAGTGCCCCTACTTTTATGCTTGTGCTAATAGTTTTACCGTGCTGTTTCGTGCAGCGGGCATTTGCGGACATTCTGAAGTGCATGCTTTGGTTACACCTACAACGAGAGGTTTCAGGTATATGTTAAAACAAGAAGATATTGAATTCACAATGCCGTTAAAGAAAAAACGTACCTCAGACGTAGGGTACGAAACTCAAGACAGTGAGGAAAGCGTTAAAAACATTGATGAAGAAGAGGAGGCAACCCCAGATGAACAATGGATGAAAAGTATGGGTATAAACGCCGAAGACATTAAACAAATAAACTACACGCAGGCTAAAATCCTCCATAAAACCGAGTGTGAAGTGGACAACAGTGATCAAAGCTTAATACTTATAGAGGGGGTGGAAGTGCACGCTTTTTACAACTTCCTGATAAACTGTAAGAGCACCACAGCCACCACAGGCCCTCTAGCGGGGATTCCCCCAACTCTACTGGCCCCTGTGGCTTACCACGGCGCAACCCTAACCTCACTTAAAGTGCGGGAGAATAAAGTGCACGTCGACGATGCGGACTACTACTCCCTCGATCTTTCGGGCCCCATTTTGCCCAGCACAATACACAACTTGTTTGCCATCAACCCCCCTGAGCACAGCATAACCATTTCGTTCAACAACATTGCCTCTACGAACTCATTTAGCAAGTTGAGTTTGGACGATACGGAGAATAAACTGCCAGAGGGGAATGCTGTCTTTATAAAGGAGAACTTGGCTGATTGCGGGTTGAATGATAAAGTGCTGGAACACTTTGCTAAACCGGACAATAAGCATATTACGAATGTTGACTGTATTAAATATATTAGTGATAACAAGACTTACACTTGGACATGATTTATAAAATTTGTGACGACTGATATTATATTTATTAAATTAATTATTTTAAGTATAAGTGCTTGAGTTTTATTTTTATAAAAATTACCCATATTTGTCTTAAAATTGATTAAAACTACCTTGTCTTGTATTATGTAAAAATTGTCTTAAATTTGTCCTAAATTGTTTGTGTTAATTAAAATATATAATTCACTGCCTAAAAATTGTCCTAAATTTGCCTTAGTACTATAAAATGTTTATTTTAGTAAACATTTTCTAAATTAACTTAAAATGGCTTTAAAAATATGTAATGGCCATAATTTAAAGCTTAAATCATGAAATGACCCAAATTTGTCTTAAATTTGTCCTAAATATTTAATTTAGTTAAAATATATAATATCCATGCTTTAAACTCTTGAAAATGTACATTAACTGTCAAAAATTTAATTCACTGCCTAAAAATTGTCCTAAATTTGCCTTATTATTATAAAATGTTTATTTTGAGAAACATTTTCTAAATTAACTTAAAATGGCTTTAAAAATGTATAATGGCCATTTTAAAGCTTAAATCATTAAATTACCCAAATTTGTCCTAAATATTTAATTTAATTAAAATATATAATATTCATGCTATAAACTTTTGAAAATGTACATTAACTGTCAAAAATTTAATTCACTGCCTAAAAATTGTCCTAAATTTGCCTTATTACTATAAAATGTTTATTTTGAGAAACATTTTCTAAATTAACTTAAAATTGCTTTAAAAATATATAATGGCCATTTTAAAGCTTAAATCATCAAATAACCCAAAATTTGTCTTTAAATTGTTTTAAAACTACCTTGTCTTGTACTATGTTTAAAATTTTCTTAATTGGTCCTAAATTGTTTGTGTTAATTAAAATATATATATCCATGCTATAAACTCTTCAAAATGTCCATTAACTGTCAAAAATTTAATTGACTGCCTAAAAATTGTCCTAAATTTGCCTTAGTATGCATTATAAAATGTTTATTTTGGTAAACATTTTCTAAATTAACTTAAATGGCTTTAAAAAATTTATAATGGCCATGCTTTAATGCTTCAATCATTAAATGACCCAAATGTGTCTTAAATTTGTCCTAAATATTTAATTTAATTAAAATATATATCCATCCTATTAACTCTTGAAAATGTCCATTAACTGTCAAAAATTTAATTCACTGCCTCAAAAATTGTTCTAAATTTGCCTTGGTATTATAAAATGTTTATTTTAGTAAACTTAAAATGGCTTTAAAAATGTATAATGGCCATGCTTTAATGCTTAAATCATTAAATGACCCAAATTTGTCTTAAATTTGTCCTAAATATTTAATTTAATTAAAATATATAATATCCATCCTATTAACTCTTGAAAATGTCCATTAACTGTCAAAAATTGTCCTAAATTTGCGTTAGTACTATAAAATGTCTATTTTAGTAAACATTTTCTAAATTAACTTAAAATGGCTTAAGAAATTTATAATGGCCATGATTTAATCTTGTCTTGTACTATGTAAAAATTGTCTTCAATTTGTCCTAAATTGTTTGTGTTAATTAATATATTAAAATATATAAAATCCATACTACAACATCTTAAAAATGTCCATTACTTAAATGTAAAAAATTTAATTCACTGCCTAAAACTTGTCCTAAATTTGCCTTAGTAAGTACTTTAAAATGTTTATTTTAGGAAACATTTCTCAAAATAACTTAAAATGGCTTAAAAAATATATAATGAACATGCTTTAAAGCTTAAATCATAAAAATATTTAATGTCCATGCTATAAAATCTTAAAAATGTCCATTAACTGTCAAAAATTTAATTCTCTGCCTAAAAATTGTCCTAAATTTGCCTTGGTACTATAAAATGTTTATTTTAGTAAACCAAATTAACTTGAAATGGCTTTAAAAATATTTAATAGCCATGCTTTAAAGCTTAAACAATCAAATGATCCAAATTTGTCTTAAAATTGTTTTAAAACTACCTCATCTTGTACTATGTAAAAATTGTCTTAAATTTGTCCTAAATTGCCAATTAAAATATATAATAGACATGCTATAAAGTCTTAAAAATGTACATTAACTGTCAAAAATTTAATTCACTGCCTTAAAATTGTCCTAAATTTGCCTTAGTACTATAAAATGTTTATTTTAGTAAACATTTTCTAAATTAACTTAAAATGGATTTAAAAATATATATTAGCATGCTTTAAAGCTTATAAGTGCAGTAAACATCAAATTTGACTTAAATTTAAAATGGTTGTAAAAACAGTCCTATATCTGTCAAAAACAACTGTTTTACTACACAATAAATATTATTATAGCTCTGCTGAATTGGAACTGTTCAAATTCTGCTTATTATTAAAAGGTCAAAGAAAAATATACAATAATTAAAGGCCTAATATTATATTAAATATATTCATAGTATAAAGTTTTGTTATTAAAAAATTATCCATTATTAATAGACCAATATATTAAAAGACATATTTATTAAGCAATCGTTATCTGAGTTAATAATTAAAACGATAAATGCAATGAGTTCTATCACAGCTGGTTATTCCCATCAAAAATAAAATAATTTTGAAAAGGGCCAAAAACAAAAAAATAAGTAATTCAACCTGGCAGCTGTAACTTGGCCTCCTTCAGTATTTTCTGCGCATTTTTGTAATCCTCGTGTTCAGCTAAATCCATTTCAGTATCCAAAATCTTCGTCAAATCGTTGAAAGCAACTTGGAGACGTCTTTGACAATCGGGAACCATCATCAAAGATTCTTGCAAGACTTCCTCCTGCTTGCGGATATCGTGCTCGTCACGGCCCTCCTGTTTGTACTTCTCGATCCTTACTTTTTGCTGCTCTGCTTCTAGTTCATAGACAGTTTTTTCCTTTGCTAACCTTCTCGCTACACCTGTTTTAATTTTGATTGTTCTTATCCTCGGATCTGCCATTTTAACTGTTGTTCGCGCTTAGATGTGTGTTTTTACACTAAATATAAAATATTAAGTTGTTAAACAATATTCTGCAACTAAATTGAGAGTTATTTTTACCTTTTAAAAGAAATCTGCCGGTGACACAAGCTGTCAGTTTCAATACAAATGAAAATCTGCGCAGGGATGCAAACGTAAAAATTTGAACTAAATAAAAATGGTAGAAATGTACTCTAAGGAAGAAGAAGAAGAGTAAGTGTCAAACGGTTTTATTTTAAATTTTCAAACTAAAATGGGCGACTCTACGCAAAAAGAAGGGTAAATATAATAAAATGCCACTTAATTTTGACATTGAATCGCGTACTTTTCTTCAGGGACTTACCCAAAGACTACAATAGCCTATTGAAAGAACATTTTCGTTTAAAAAAAGTGTTGGACAGTTTTAATCAAGAGTTATACGACTCGAAAAGGCAATTAAAAGTTGCTGAAGCCTTGCAGATCGAGTATCAAAGCGAAATCGAGCATTTACAACATGAACAAAATTTCGGTGATCAGCAGTTGAAGATTTCCCGTTTGGAGGAAGATATAATTAAATGTCGATTAATTAAGAATGAACGTATATCGTATTTGGAGCAATGTTTAGAGGATAAAGAGTCTGAATGTAATAATTTACGCGAGGAAAACAAGGTTATTAAAAAGGCTTGTCCTTTTGAACCTACAGTCGATGATTCCAGCAAGTTATTGGAGGAAATTAATTTATTAAAAGAGGCAAATGAAGATATTTCCGATATTGTGAACGAGTTGTCGGAGACTTTGAAGGAATCACAAAAAAACTGTTCCGATTTGGAAGGAAAAATTGAGGTAATGTATAAAATTTGTTAAACAAGTAAGTTTTTATGGTTATCGTAGTCCTTGCAAAATGAGTATGAAAGTGTTAAGGGATCTTTGGAATGTAAAAGGGAAGAATTGGAGAAAGCTAACGATTTGGTACAGCAATTGAATGATGAGATTTTGTGTCTTAAAAAGGAAATTGAATCTTCTAAAAGTGTTCCACTGGATCAGCAGAGTCAAGGAAATTCTTTATTTGCAGAAGTTGATGACAGGTAATTTAATTTAATTTTTTTATTTAAACTTTCTAAACTGTCCTAAAACTGTTGTTAATAATAAACACAAAATATTGTTTTAATTTGCTTAACTTTAACTTTTCAAAAATATTAAAAATTGGTTTTGAACAATGTAATAATAAAAAATCTGAAATTTTTTAAGTTCTAAAATGGGCCTTAGGACTTATAAGAAACTAATCAAATTAAAATGTCTTTTGAAAGTGCCCTAAAGTTTATTAAAACAAGAAACTATATAATACTCTTGTATTTTTGTATTGGGTTAAGAAAATAATTTTCACATTTAGTATTATTTTACAAGAAAGGCACTTTATTTTAACGATTGTATGACATTTGACAACTGTCAACTAACTTGAAACTGACTAAAAACTTGTTGCTAACTTCAGCCCGTGATTAAAGCGCCTTAGAGCCACAGAAAAAATATATTTTAATGTAAAAAACAAGGTTTTTATTTTTCTGCATTTTTAGAAAGTCAAAGAATATTGCGGAAGTAATTCAATAACCTTTTTACCAATAAATATTTTTTTACTTAACTTACCTGTGTTAAGTAAGACTTATTTTAATGCGGTTTAACATTTTCAAGTTTGTTAAAATTCATATAAATTTGGAAACTTTTATTTTACATTTTTATATAAAAAAAACTGATGTCTTTGTTACTAAATATATCTTCTACCTACCTTACAGAGTAGATACCAAAAGGATTATTCATTACCTAATTATGATTATTATAGTAGGTATAAAAAGGATTATTAAAGATATCCTAGTAGGATAATCCTACTTGATATTTAAATATAGGCGCGAAAAATAAATAATAAATATTTAAATAAACTTGTTCATATGCATTTTTATGCAGCTAATTTAATAAACAATGTGATGTAGAAAACACTCTGTAAATCCTAGTAAATTGTAGTCATACGCCTGTATAAAAAAATGTTTTCTTAAATTTACTAATGTATCTTTAAAAGGTTATGTTGTTTAATTTAGAGTTTATTAAATTCAAACAGAATCACTTTTTAAAATTTTTCAATGGAATTTGGGGAAATCTTGTATAAAAACTTTATAAAACTTTCCTAAATAAATAACTATAAATTGTCTTAAACTGTAAGATTGACCCTGAATAAACATCTAAAATTGTCCTATATGTACCCTAGAACTATTCTAAAATAGCCCCAAATCTACCTAAATTTGCAATTTTGAATATAAACATATTTTTTTTTATATATAAGGAGAGTAGTTTTGCAAAAATCAATTAGTACAATGAAGAGAGAATACGAAGAAATGACCAACGACAGAGTAAGATTGCTTCATCAAATAAACAAACTCACCAGGGAAAACCTTATGCTTCTGGAGAGGTGGTCAGAAGAAGAATGTCAAAGAACAGAAGATGAAGAGATGGTCATGGATTCTTACAGGTAATTGAACATTTTGGACATTTGTTTGCAAGTGATGCCAGAATTGAATATATTTGTTTAACCTTGTTTCTACATCTAAATGGTGCATTAAAAAAAATTCATCCATTGATGGATGTGTGTTCAGGCTCTACTGTGTTAAAAATAGATAAATTTCGATATTTTGTAATAACATTTTTATTTAAAAATCGATTTGATATTAAAATAAAATGTAAACCTTAATGCCATTAATGGCAAAAATCCACGCATAATACTAACGTGTTTTACAAAGTATATATTCTTTTATCTAGTTTTATAAGATAATGTATTATATATTACATATTATACATTATATATTACATATAATATATTATATATAAAATACAATTCTTACATATTTTAAAAAAAAAAATCGCTAAAATTACTTTTATTTATAAATTTAATTTTTTTTCAAGTTTACTAATTTTGATCATAGTAGGCATCATAGACTTTTCTCTATGGTAACCTAGCATTGGAAGCATGAAAGATAATATGACAGTTCAGTTTATAAGTTGCAAATGACTGATTTCGTTTCAATTTACTATAAAGTGTACTATAAATTCAAAACATTAATTTATTAAAATGAATAAACTAAATAATAATTATAGACAGTGTCAGCAAGTTAGAAATTGTAACCTTCAATAAATAAATTAGAATAAAGACTCTATTTTTTATGTTGCGATCGGCTATTTAGATGTATGTATATTTTTATTCAGTTGTTTTTCGCTTTTTTGTAATTAGTTATTTTGCATTTTTTTATATTGAATATAATGCTATACAAGGTGTTTCTGCAGAAACGCAAACGATATGGATTTGAAATTTTAAGTCAATAGTTTTCATGATATTAATATTTTTCGTAAAAATTTTGCTAAATGCACGTTAATCAAAAATAGCCTCTAATTTTTTTTTGTTATTATGTTTGCTTTCATAGGGTTGGAATTAGTATTAAAACATTGTTTAAATAATTTAATTTTTTAAAGGTTTTTCAACAATAATAACGTTTTTATTATAAATGTAAAACCCTATATGTTTTAACATAATCAAGTAGAACATTAAAGAATCTTTCAATTGGTATTATAATAACTGTCCTAAAGTTAAAATTTCAGAGACATTTAACAATTTCTAATATTTTTGTATCAACAAACCTGTCAAATTCTACATGTCATATAATCTGTCATTGTTTAAAATTAATTAAAATATTTGATTGAAAAATTAATAACTCGAAAAGTATTGACTTTAGGTATAGGATATGGTGTAGCCATTTTACTCAGAATTTTATGTAGAATTCAAAAATGTAAAAATATATTAGGACCTATATATTAGGACACCTGGTGTCCTGTTTAAAATAACAAAGTTAAAGACATTTCCGGTAAAAGAGAAAGTATTATTTTGTTCAAAATAATTTAGGAAAAAAGTTTAAAATTTTAAATCGATGTCTTTCGCGATTCCCTACAAACGGACTACGTACGTGAAACACCCTGTATATTAAACGTCATTTATGTGTTATCTAACTTATTTATTAATAAAAGATACAACAATATTTGTATAAAAATGACAAAATGTACTAAACTAAACATTTATGAATACTGCTACAGCTAATTCAAAACTGATCATGGCCACGGAAACATCATTTGCATAAAAAAGTTAAAATATCAAATAATAGTCTAATATCAATTCTTCAACGTGTTATACTCAAATTTATAAAACCAAGTTGCTTATTTGATTATTTACCCTTATTATTATTACATTATTTTCTCTACGACTACGTAAGAATAGTAACGCTTATATAATTTTAAACAGAGAAAAGAAACCAAGCAGTTTTTGACATTTAAGTTTTTTGTATTGTCAAACCATTTTGTGCCGTCACAATTTTATAATGTAAATTATAATAAATTTAAACAAATGGTATGCCTAAATCTTTATTATAATTAAAAATAGTTATTTACACTAACTAATAAAAAAAATAACATTGTAACAAATACAAAACTAATTTTACAAGTATTCTATGTCAACATCTATTCTTTTTCTACATTTTAAAGGTGTTTTTTTAAACTTTTTGAATCTGTCAAAACTTCAAAGCCGGTATAGTAGGTAACTGGTTTATCAATTTAATATCAAATTTATTATAATTCTGATTTGTATATTTGAAAAACAATAAATATAACTAATTTTTTGTGCCTAAACCTTAATTATACAACTGCTATTTTTTTTACAGTAATATTTAAATATTTTTAAATTTTTTACGTTTAGTAAACAGCCAGGAGATGTCGTTACTTGTGATCATTCTTAAACAAGAGTAGGAATATTCTCGCACAGTATTACAGAAAAACATCCTTTCTATGATCAAAAATTACACTAGAATGTTACTATTCTTAAGTAGTCGTAGAGAAAAATTGTTAAATTTTTAAATTAAATTATCACTAGCTCCCCCTGTACGTTAAAATCTAAACAAAATTTTGGATTAATTCTCATTAGTAAGATCTACATTTTGTCCAAATTTCAAATCGATCCGCTTTGAAATAAAAAAGTTGTTAAAAAAATGTCTTCATTTTTAACACAGTGAAGAAAAAAAAAGAAATAAAAACAAAGTTGTCAATGGATGGAATTTTTTTTAAAGAAGTACTTCATTCGATCCTTTCGCGAAACCGTAGTTAACATATTTTTATACATTATTTTAGGGAGCAAATAGCCAATCTTAAGAAGCAAGTGGCAACCTATAAAAAGGAAATATCGTACAAAACCCCAGACCTGCAAAAATCCTCTATGTGCGAGGTAATGCAATTCTACGAGAAAAAGTTGAAAGAAAAAACGCGCGAAATTTACACTTTGAATAACGATTTAACGAACGCAGCTTTGACGCACACATTGTTGACGAACAATTTGGCGTCCGCAAATAAAACGGCCAGAAAATGCAAGTTGAAAGTGTGTCAGCTAGAATGCGAGACGGACATTTTAATGAGCAAATTGGAAGAGTTGGGAGTTTCAACTGCATCCATGAAGGAAATGGGTTTGAAAACCCAAAAGGCTATTCAAAGAATCGAAAAGGAACATAATGAACAAGTGGAGAAGGAAATTTCGGCAAAAATGAGTTTACAGAGCATTGTGAAGGAAAATGATATGTTGTACAATACTTTGGATTTATCAGGGTTAGATGCTATGGAAATCAATGAAACTTTGAACTTTACTGTTTGCAGGGAAATAGAGATAGAAATGTCTAACGAAAATATTGCCAAGGAAGAAAGTGTTAAAGAAAATATGTTGGAGGATATATCAGATGAAAAAACATTAGAGTATATTAATCTTGAAGATGTAAAAGAAGTAAATGAAACTCCATCAGAAGAAATAATTATTTTAGATGATGATTTTAAAGACGAACCAGAAATAATAACTTTGGATGATGATGAAGAAGTAATAAAAAAAGAAATAAAAAGTGAACCAACTGAAGAATGCTTCGTTATTTTTGATGATAAAGAAAGTCACAATAACGTCAAGGTTGAAATCAAAGAAAATATTGGTGAAAATGATAATAAAGAAAATCAAAATACCAACAAAGAAAATCATGTGCATCTGAAACCAAACGTTTTACAAAAACAAGATGTTAAAGAAAGTCACAAAAACGCCAATGTTGAAATCAAAGAAAATATTAATGAAAATGATAATAAAGAAAATCAATGTACCAAAAAAGAAAATCATGTACCTCTGAAACCGAAAGTTTTACAAGAACATGATGATAAAGAAAGTCACAAAAACGTTGAGGTTGAAATCAAAGAAAATATTAATGATAATGATAATAAAGAAAATCAAAGTACCAACAAAGAAAATCATGTACCTCTGAAACCCAAAGTTTTACAAGATAACATTGAAGATCATCATAAAGAAAACGCGGAACCGAAAAAAGAAAATCTGAAAGTCAAAATTTTAAAAGAACAAAATTTACCAAAAGCCTCAGGGATACCAACAAAAAAAGTGACATTTTCCCATAATACAGTCGAGCCCAAAACTACAGATAGAGATTTAATAAGAAAAGGCGGTAAAATAGTGAAAGCAAAGCGAACGTTTTATTTTTAATTTAATTTAATGTGTTTTTATTATTAATTTTAACTATGTATTTAAGATTGCAATATATTTTTTTATTGAAGTAAAAAATTTTAATCGAAGAAAATGCCTTTTAATTTATTATACCCCCAGATAAATCTACTCTACAGGGTGTCAATAAAACGTCTGGGGATTTCCACGCCAAATCAACCACTTTTGAGACAATAAAAAAATTTCTTAGAATATTTAAAAAATTAATTACGAATTTTTTCAAAAAAATGTGTAAAAATTTAGATTGAAATTTTTTTTTCTTCAATGTAATTAAAAAAAAATACAACAAAATTTTGTATGTCAATTTCTATGAAATTTTTCAGTATTTTGAGAAACCATCAATTTCTCAAAGTTCGACCTTTTATTTTTTTTAATGCCGCTAAATCCATAGCAGGCCTACTTTATCTTTCAATTTTTTTTGGTTTCATTATAATAAAATGGCGAACTTGAAAAATGGATCTAAAAAACTAAGATTTGAGAACAAAGAATGTTGTATTTTTTTTCTGAAAAGAACCTGCAATTTTTAAAAAAGTTATGGGTATTTGAAAAAAGACATTTTTTTTTAATTTAACTTTTTTGGTTCAGAAACATTTTTACCCCTCCAAATGGGATGTTCTTTTTCATTTTTTCTTCTTTAATGTACTTTATTTTATTTTTTTTATAAGAAACTTGATTTGTTTTTTGTATTCTTTTCTGAAAAGTACAATTTTTAAAAAAGTATGGGTATTTAAAAAAGCCATTTTTTACCTTACCCAATAAGTTACGATTTTTTTCGAAAAAATATCTTTTTAAAAATTTACCAAATGGGACTAAAAAAACTTGAAAAATATATCTAAAAACTAATTTTTTTTATATAGAACTTGATAACAAAAAATTGTGTTGTATTTTCAGAAAAGCTTAATTTTAAAAAAAAGTTATTGGTATTTGGAAAGGCAATTTTTTAGAAAAAAATTGAATTTTTTGGTTCAGAAACATTTTTACCGAACCAAATAATTTCCGAATTTTTTCGAAAAAAATGTCCTTTTTTTCAATGTAGGTACTAAAAAAAATAAAAAAAAAATTTTCGTTGTCAATTTCTATAAAAAAATTTATAAAAAACTTACCTAAATAGTTGCACCCCTTCTAAAAAAAAGTTAAATCTTGCTAAAAAAATTAAGATTGTCCCAAATTTATTTTAATAACTTACAAGTTGTCCTAAACTTGCCATTCCTAGGAAGCTAAAAGTAAAAGTTTTGTAAATAAAAATGCATAGTATTATAAACAAATTTTCCTTTATTTATAGAACAGTAATATAATATTTTAAACCACTAAATAGCATAACAGTTTATTTATAAACAGAAATGGGAACGAAATTCCTATAGAAAATCATAAACGATATGAAGATTTTTATTCATCCAACTTCTCTAGTATTTGTCGCTAACATTTAAAAGAAGCGCTTTGTACAATATTCAAGATAATAATTCTAAATAGTTTAACAATTGTTCCCACTTCTAATTAAAATTTAATCGGAAATTTATCAACGTAACAAATAAAATATATAAATAATTGATTTTATTATTATAACAGCACTTTGTGCCCTCACATTGATAATGCATTTCAATGTCCAATAGTTTCATCAAAAAATATATACCACGACTGAAAGAAACCGAGAACATCAAGTTGCCGTTTGATAGTTCAGATGTTGTTTAACAGATGGCGCAATATGTGTTTTCGATTTCTTTCAATTTCAAAATGCTTTAAACGCAATTATCAGCAGCGAAAATACCAATAACCACAACTTAAACTTATTATAATTTGAAATCTACTTGCAGAGGATTAAAATCCTCTGTTCTTAAATGTAGGTAACAAGTTTTTAAAAAATTGTTATTCTCCTTCTTTGGGTCAACAAATTTCAATCGAGGCGGACCTATTGTGTAAAAAGACTATATATACATTATTATTAAGACATTAATTATAAACCTCAATAGTTGATATTGGAGTTCATTCAAGGTCCAGACCTCATTACACACATTTATTTATTTATTAGTATTTTTTTACATGAATATGATTTTTTCACTAACCAAATGCATTGTGTGGCTTTTTTCATAATTTTTAACCACTATAACTACAAACATATATTACATCTCCTATCGTTATTCGACTAGAGAAAATCGAAAAAGTTATTTTTTTATTTGAACTTGACGTTTTATTTAAAAAATGCCATGCTCTGATTGGTTCATTGCTTTCTATAGACATCATATTTGATAGAAAGTAAAAAAACAATTTTATAACCACAAATTTTCCTTGCTGACAAAAACCCTTGGTCAAGTCCATATAAAAAATAAACTTTAGGTACATTTGGCATTTTATTTAATGGAGAAACAGGAAGACCAAATAATTTACAGATATTAAACAATGTAAATCCTAAAGTGACGAATTTTCCAGGGAAAAAATAACAAATAACGAAATGCCATTTATTTAAGATTATAATAAGGTCAAAAAGACATTTTTTTAGTTGCTTTTATTTTTTTTATACACAGTCCAATGTTGCCACATTCAATATTTACACCCAACCAAACTTATATGGAATCACCCAGTAATTACGAGAAACATTATTCCACTTAAAAAAAGTAATTTGGAAATAAAAAGCACTTCATCTGAACCAATTTATTACAAAAATAAAAAAAAAAATATTAAAACAAATTTTCTAGAGAACAAATAACAAAAGTTTATTCTCAGAGAAATTCACATTTTTTGTTAATTGTTCAACATAAAATTTGTTTTAATTTTTTTTTAATAAAACTGATCGACTAGGAACTTTAGGCTAATCTGGTTGCCTAATTTAATTTATTATGTTATGGTTGGTAACATCCAGCGTTTCCAGATTCTGTCAAAAAAGTTTCAAAATTTTGTTTAAATTCAGCTTAATTACAAAAATGACAAAATCATGATTGTTGCAACAATGCAAATTGTTGATTTGGCATTTTTATTAATTGTTGATTATGTCATTTTTGTAATGAAGGTAAATTCAAACAAAATCTGGCAACTTATGACAGAATCTAGTGCATTTATTTCAAATTTTAGGTTATGTGCTCAAATTGTAAATATCTTAACTAAGGGAAGTGCTTTAGAATTTATTTACACAAATTGAATGTTTTAAGTTTAACCTGTGAACTTGTCATAATTTCATCTGAGTAAACAGAAAGAAAAAAACCAATGAAAAAATTAATGTTGTGGTTATGAAGTTTTTAAAATAGGTACTAAATTTTCCAATCATTGCTTAAGCTAATAGCTGGATGAGTAAATAAATTCAGAAGGGTATACAACTTTTATATTTATTGAGTTTTTATTTATTTTTTGCAAGAGTGTGTAACCAGTGGCGTATCACAATAAATATATTTTTTTAAATATTTTTCCGTTACACATTATGTCAAAAGGTATCCAGTATTTTAATATATTAGAGATACCTATATAGAGATATTTTATTAAGTAAATATTGAATTGAGAATATGGCAACAGTGGATTGCGTTCTTCTTAAAAACCTACTACATATTCCCCAAACCAGAATAAGTTTATTTAAGTAAACCATAGAAATAATACTAGTAATACTAGTATTATTTCTATGAAGTAAACCTACCTTCATTTAAACTTTTTTTAGCTAAAGTTGAAATTTTTAAATCGTTTTTTTAACAATAAATTTAATTTACTAAGTAAGTTAAATCAACTTATTTTGGTTTAGGAAATATGTCGTGGGTTTTTGTAAAGACTTTAATGTCATGTTAAAGTATTATATTCTTAAAAACGCTAATTTTTTTAATCAACAAAAAAAATTCTATTTGCCATTTTCAAACAACAAAAATCAATATTTTAACGAGAAACACACATAATTTTATTGTCTTCCGAATACTTGTCATAAAATAAAACACTGTAAATACATATATTACATTAACTGTGTGCTTTTTATAATTTGTATGGTTGTTGATTTTTTTTTAATATTTACAGTAGGTATATTTTGAGACCAAATAATGCGATAAACTAAATTTACCTTTATATATAGAAAAGTTAATAATAACCAAGATACATAACTAACTTTGAAAAAACAAACGTTTTGATATTTGGGGTTTTTTTAGGACCTTGAAATTAAATTTCTTAAAAATATTTTTATTTAAACGTGAATACTATTATAAGTTATTTATTAAAATCGAAATCTAACTTTCATCTTGGTTATTATCAACTTTTGTATAGAGGTAAATTTAATTAAATTTGGTCTCAGGAATATGTGGTATTTCAGGGACACCTTGTATAATAAAAGAAAACAAAAATGCCCAAGATGGCGCACAAAGTGAAGACATGGTTGCCAGATGTATTTTTATGACAGTATGTCAATTGAGGATTAATCCTTGTGTGCCATTTTAGGATTTTTTTAATTATATAATATTGTAAATATGCTCTTTAAAGGCTAATTTATAAACCTATTATATTCAACAATTTTATGTACGTAGTTTTACACACATCTATCACACTGATAGATATATGGTATCATTTAGATAACAGTACTAGTGTCCCATCATTATAAACTAGATACAACCTATTTTTTTTATTTATATTTTTCTGTGGTGATATGTGAGATGATTTAGCGAAGTTATATAGTCTCGGTACACAGTACTCATCTTGTTATACAGGGTATCCCAAATAAACTAAATTTTGTAAAAATATTATATAGGGGGCTACAAAAATGGCAAACCCACGTTTTAATTTTTTTTGACGAATAGTTGTGTCGAAAAAGTTATTTGTATTTAACTATTAATTAACCAATTTCAACTCATAATTTTTTCAGAAAATAGGACACCCTGTATAAGTCAAATAATTTGCGTAATATTATTACGGATATTTTTGGTATTTTTATAATTCAAAACACATTTTTTATCTATTTGATTTATTTGCGTATCTATGTAACATTTTAACTTGGTCTGCCTCTAGAAACCAGCTCTAGAACTGCCTTATACACAAAAATGAAAATGACACCTTGTATATTATTTTTGCTGTGTTTTGAATTAACAAAATTTTATAAAAATTGGTCAAAATTAACTAATTA